TCATGTTTTAATGCATTAAATTTTCACGGATAGCTTTTTATTTTTTAATTATCCCATCTTGTTTGGGGTATTACTTTCCGCTGCAATCCTTTGTTTTATTACATAAAGTTTCTCAGTTCTCCAGTATTCTACAATCCAAGCGATTAAAAAAACAGAAGAGACTAGAAAATGTATGAAATAAGTTCTAGGCAGCAGAGGTTTAAGGATAAGGCAAGAGGGTAAATATCGCATTGCTTGCGAGTGAGTAGATGGCATGGAATGGAGATAAATCCATCAGAGAGGCTAGTTGTGAATTGGTTAAGCAGAGTACCTGCTGCTAAGTTGTCATCAGGTCTGGCTTGGCCAAACTAAAAAGTATTTCGAAGATATGAAGACCAAGATGGTGTGGCCTCTTGTGTGGTCGCAGTCTCCTTTCGTTGTATTGAGGTTGCTTGATCTTGTTTTCGCAACTTGGTCATATTGATAGGAAGACTTAGAGGCATGCTCCTAGTCCGGAGTCCATTGTATGCAAGATAATGTCCAAAGTCGCACCGTGGATGTGAAACATTATCAGACGTTTCGCAGGCATCTTTAGTGAGTTTTGCCACTCTTAGCACCATACTACAACTCGTCAGAGACAGGTGAAGCCGATCCCTTGACCAAACGTGTACTAAACATTTGTGCAATCTCCTGCCCTGGGCTATTTACATTTTCTATATCCTCGTATCACGCCTTCACTGTTACAATTTTTACCGTGCTTATTTAGATTTAGTGTGGTGTGCCTTTTTGAGCGGCATTCATGATAACCCTCCACACTCCATGTTGGCGTTCTCGCCCCTTCCTTCGCTCTTGTGCTGGGAATGTTGATCAGTCCGCCATATTGTTACGCAGTCCTTCCCTACTTCCTATCAGAGTCTCTCTCTTGCCCAATAGAATCCGTCTGTTATCTCTAGTTCAAGTATTTCACTCTACCCCTGCTACTTCATCTGTGCTACTCGATGCGTTATTACCCCTCCCCTGCGTCTGAGTGACTAATTCGAGGCTAAAGCTTCTAAGTAAGTCACAGTCAAGCCATTGCTACATGGACCACATCTCTTGTAAAACCTACTGTTAGCCAACTAGCTCCAATCTCCACCGCGTCTATACAGTTGCTATCCGTAAGTCTTTGACTTGCTATGCCATAGTCTCTTGTGTGCCAACCCACAAACGTGGTTCAACATGGAACCTAATCAAAGCAAGCAGTACCACAACATTTGTGGGTTGGCACACAAGATACTATGGCATAAGAAATCATAGTCTTGGTATTACGGATATAATCAGGATAGACGAAGCGGAAACTGGAGCTAGTTGGCTGACAGATTTTACCATAGACGTGGTTTATTAGAACTGGCTTAACCATGAGACTTACTCAGAGGCTTTAGCCTCTAATTAGTCACCCAGACGCTGGGAAGTGGTAATATCGCCTCGAGTAGAATCGATGGGGTGGCAGGGGTCGAGTGAAATAAGTGAACTAGGGAGATAGCAGACTGATCAACATTCCCAGCACAAGGATGAAGGGCGGATGAGAACTCCAGCGTTGAGTGTGGAGGGTTCTCATGAGTGCCGTTCAGAAGGACACACTATTCTACATCTAAATAAGCATGTTAAAAAATTGTAACAGTGAAGGCGTGATACGAGAATATAGAAAGTGTGAATAGCCCTGGGCAGAAGAAGAGATACCACAAATGCTTAGCACGCGTTTGGTCAAAGGATCGGCTTCACTTGTCTTTTTGATGAGTTGTAGTATGGTGCAAAAAATGGCGAAACTCACTGACGATGCTGGAGAAACGTCTGGTAATGTGCCATGTCCATGGTCCGACTTTGGAAATTATCATACAATGGACTCCAGACTAGGTACGTTCCTCTAAGTTTTTCTACCAATATGACCAAGTTGCGAAAACAAGGTTAAACAGCTTCCATAAAAAGTATTTCGTTTGAATGGAACTCTTCAGATTAGCATAGAACTTGACGAAAAACGTGAGGTTTGATCTAAGCTGTTATTAGGACAGTTTTGCATGTTCCTTATATACGAAGATTAACAAGGAATATATTTCCAGACGAAGACTATTTATTTAGGGACAGACAAGCAGAGACCAGTGTCCTTGCCACACCATCCAACCTTTTTTATAGAAGGATTGGCGAACTAGCGATAAAGTGGTTGGATAAAAACAGTTTTTAAATAAAGCCTAATACTTTCCTCGCTTGTCGTCTTATATAGAGAAATATGATCCCTTACAGGATCCGGCTGTTACAAGATTGTGCGTTCATGTGGTCTCCCTTATGTTGGAGGGAATACTGAAAGCCAGATCTGGATTGGTCTTGTTTATTACATTGATGTAATATTCGGAAATATAAAACTGAGTATGCTATTAAATTAATTTGTACATATCCAGAGAGGATACTGATTTATGTCCAAGCCACCCAAAAGACAACTTTAAATTTTATCCTGTCATATGTATTCTTTACTTACATATCTTCGCTGAGTCAATTGTTCAGATAATGCCTAAAAAGACACTTGTGTGATATAATTATTTTCGATCCCTAAAGCATTTTTTTGCATTATTTGGGCCTATAAATCATCTTTCATAGCTTTTATTTTTCTTTTACATAAAATAAAGCATGAGATAGAGACAAACTTCACCACTAATTAGTAAATTAATTTAAGTACAGGAATTTTGATTCAGGTCGTACTGTCTTCCAATATATTTATTAGGTTCATTTCTATACCTCAATTTTTTATTATAGTCATTCTAATGAGCCTCCTCCTCCTGGGTTTATTCACCCTCCTGGAGACGCTGATGGAGGCTTTGGTGGTGGTCCTCGTAGTTTTAGATCCGCAACACCTCAAGTTCCTCCACCTGACTATGATTCTGCTTGTCGAGGTATGTATTAAGGCTGTGGTCCATTGCCCGATTAAATTTCTTTTATGGCTATGTTAAGATTGTACTGATACCAAAAGAGGTAAACTTGTCATTATTATAAATCTTGCTTTAGCAATTAATTCTTTATTCGGCAACTGGCTGATCTTTTGCTCTGCATTAAACCAGCAACACCAAGTGTTCTTTAAATCCTGTGTCTATTTATCTGGCTGCATATAGGATATGCTAGTCTGGACTTTTAGGATAAGGCCGTAATCTGCTGATTTTTAGCATCCTCTTGTGGATAATAAGTTATTTTAATGCAATCTGGTTCATCTTATCTTATAGTATAATATGAATTTGGATAATATGCCGTACCTCCTGAAATTTCGTGAATCATTAACATTGCAAAGTAATTACTACCGAGTTCTAGTGTTTTCATTGTTAAAGTTCTAAAAGAACATTGAAAGCTTTTCTAACTGGGCACTTAATGTTCTATTTCGGCAGCTTATCTATTAATCATATAAACAGGGACATAATTAAAATCACTTTGCATTCTTTTAACTTATCTTGGTTGGTTGTGAAACATTTAGCTATGGTTTTACCTTCTCTTTCTAAATATGCATGTATCAGATTCATCTACTCGCCGTCATGCCTATCCAACGGCACCATCCTCATCTGCAGAGCCGGGTTATGGCTGGGCAGAAACTGCCGATCGACCCACCAACACACGCTACCAGAGCCATTGGGTGCGTGGAGGTGGCAGCCACACTCAGACATATACTGAACAACAGGCCCCCTCACAAAGAGATCGCATCACTAACAACGGCTGGTCTTCTTTCTTCACTGGAACTGCTATAGGCGGCTTGATGGGTTATCTATTCGGTTCTAGATCACACAATACTGGCGCCCGCGCCAGCTCCCAAAGTTCCTCAAACTGGTTTGGGGCATCTCAAGATTTTACATGCCCTAGTTATCAAAATATTCCGACTGAACCACAATTCTATTCTGGATCCTCTGCCTGGACCTCCCCAAGGCGTAGAAGCTCACCTTCGGCATCTCCGGAACAAGAGAGCACTCGAACTGTATCTGGTAAGGTAGCTTCGTTTCTTCCATTGACTTGTTATGAGTTCAGGGCCAGTACTCACATTCTAATTTGGTCACTCTCCTCTCTAAACCATCAAAATAACCTTTCCTAATTAATTCCCTAGCCTGCTTCTTATATGCACCTCCTTCGATATTCAGCCATCTATTATTGGGATGAAAGTCAGTCTAGATCACTGCATTAGTAAGTGTATCAATCATTCATAGTTCTGTGGCTTGCATATCTATTCTTATTTCTCTCATTAAATATTACATTGGTTTAACAGACCACATGAATCCTTTGTTATACTGA